AAGCTGAGCTTCCTTTGCCGTGCTTCCTCTGCGTGGCAGAGGAAGCACGGCGCACCCAGTATAGAGTGAGGTTCAACTTTTGTTCAAGCCATCACCGTGTACGCGTCTGTCTCGGCGTGTCTGTGCCTTTGTGGACTAACTATGCGACAGCCACTAACTGTTGTCTTCATTTGGCGCCCTACAAGCCTGACGCTTCACGGCGCTACTGATAGCGTTTTGCCGACGGAAAGCTGAAAAAATAATTGTTGCTGAGAGTACACTTCACGAAATGAATTTATAACAGGCATTAGTCATAGAGTTTTCTATATATACACTAACTATCTGGAACTCTGGCACTAGTGCGTATTGGAGCTGCAATGCACGGCGCTTCAGCAAGCATGGGAATGATCGGTAGTACATGGATTTGCCTAATCTTCATACCTTCAGCTCCGTTTGGCTTCGCGTGGCCTGGAGCTGCTTTATTATGAAACGATAAACAGCAGATATTTAGCAGTAGCACTTCACCACCTTATTCTTTGTGGGAATCGAGGCTAGCCCGCCATCTTTATGCGGGCTTTGCGACCTCTTTCTGCGTTCTCATGTCCTGACATGACTCTCCCCTCCTCCGTGGTCTGTCGTGCTGGGCGAGTGGGACTGAAATTAACCACTCTCGCCTGGTAGCGGATGTTGACTGTGGCGCCGTGCGCGAATTCTCTCGGGACAACGCGCGTGCGTGTCAGGGGTTAGAAAGAACCCCTCCGGGAGGACATGGGGTGAGCACGCATTTCTTTTTCGTTCGTTGGCTCCTTTTATTTGGGGCTCATTCGGACTTCAACAATAGCGCCTTGCGACCACGGCGAACGCTTATCTTTTATCGCCCCTCTCCCCCTTTCGAACGCTAGGCCGAAGAGCCATGCAATGTCCTAGTGCGTGGTTATACTACGCTGACCCGCACCCCTGGAAAGCCATCGCGAGCGGAGTTTTGCCCTCACTCGAGCAACCGGGCCCTTTGCTTGGTGTCACCGCGACTCACTTTGGCCCACGGAGACTTGCTCGCGGCACTCTGTGTAGTACTTCTCGCCTGGGGCGTGTATAAGCCCATTTGCTTTCCCGCCGCCCCTGTTTCAACGGGCTCTGGACTGTGTTTTTGGTATTGCCCCAGGCAATAAAGTGTTGCGACCTTGAGCAGTACCGTGTTCTCACCACCGCGACGGTTAATGTGTGCCCTGTGGCTCGCTATGACGTGACCCACACTAGTGGCTGTACTCCAAGATACGTGCGCACTATACCTTTTAGGCTCTCCAATTCAAATAGGGTCACGAAGTAACGGTCTGTTCTTTTATTCAAAAAAAAAAAAAAAAAAAACAGAACACTGCAATAAACAAAGCCACAAAGTGCATTCGAAGCCCACAAGCATGAAGACTAGGCAAATACATGTACTACCCATCATGCCCATGGTTGTTGAACAATTGCATTGCCAGTCTTGCCTAGTTAATTTTAAGACCTATGGCATTAGTTGCTGGTATCGCTCTAACTGAACCAGATATGTAGATAAATATATTTGTTTTGCTGCCCACACATGCCAACACTACTCTCACCACGAATACTGCTGCAGAGAAAGGCGGAGTCTGCAACGGTGCCGCACAGATAGTTTCCCATAGTCGTTTCTAGGTGGCTGCACATGCACTGTAGAGGCGTGCGAAAGGCAAATTGTGCCAAAAAGTATGGTGCAGAAGTCCCTGTTGGCTAGCATGGATTCTCGGTTTTCGTACCAAGTCCTTGTACCATCTTCAGGGACAAAATAAACATAGCAAAGCTTCTCGTCACAGTCCCAGTTGTTGAACATCGCCATGCAGTTATAATGCATCCAGCCAACTTCCTGGTTCCCCAGAAGGTAGGAGGCTTCAATGGGTGTGCATGAAAACCTTTGTGGCGTTACAGGGGCTGCAATCACCTCTGCTGTCATTGTCAGGGCTGCTTGGCGGTCTCAGGAATCAGCCCATGCTGTGGCTATAGCCCCTTCTGCGTGCGGATAGTTCGATGGTGCAGATTGCCAGCAGCTTTTTCGTAGCTTGGGTCAGGCCTTTATGGCGATGTCGCATCATGGACGAAGAAGCTCCTCCGCCAGATGTCACCGGGTCATGACATGAACAAAAGTAGAAGACGGCTCGTTCAAAACTAAATATTTCATTTAGGTGAGCCTGTGCCCGGAGAAATGAAAAGACAAGGAACAAGCAATGTTGCTGTACATTGACAGCAGCGAACAGGGCATTAGCCGTCTGTAATCTGTTCATCAAGGGAACACTGTTTTTTACAGTGTAGCCAACGAAACTTTCAGTGTTATCACTAGTCTCTCGAATAGACTCCAATAGACTTAATTATTTGCATTATGCAGTTTTTTTGGGTGAAACTCTATTACACTAAAATACTTAGTAGCTTCTAGCTAAGTTTCCCAATGTGTGATGATGGGTTCTGGCAGAATAGGTACGTCTGGCAACTTCTCTTTAAACGAGTGCACACAAGAGGCCGCATTCAGAAACGGGGCCTTGGCTTTTGTTTTGCACTTGTTCTCTGGTTGTTGGTTGAACAAGAGGAGTAGGTTGAACCGCATACAGTTCTGAACAGCCAGTGTCGCCCTGTAACTTGAATAACAATCACAAGCCTCGTGTCCCCACCACGGTGGCCTAGGGGCTAAGGTACTCGGCTGCTGGCCCGCAGGATCGAATCCCGGCTGTGGCAGCTACATTTCCGATGGAGGCGGAAATGTTGTAGGCCCGTGTACTCAGATCTGGGTGCACGGTAAAGAACCCCTGGTGGTCAAAATTTTCAGAGCTCTCCACTACGGCGTCTTTCATAATCATATGATGGTTTTGGGATGTTAAACCCCACAAATCAAATCAAATCAATCAAGCCTCACTTGAAAGCAAAGCTTGCAGCTATATACTGTTCATGTAGGTGCCGATTTCGCAAAGGGGCATTTACTGGTATTTGTAGGTGTTTAGCCACAAACACAAAAGTGGGCATTCATAGATACTGTTAAAGCAATATAAATGCCCTTGATGATCTCTACCTCATGCTCATATATCAAAGTGGTGCATCAAAGGTACTAGGAATGGAATCGTAATTTGCCTATAATATGTTCTCTTGTTATAACAGTGCAAAATTAGCCCCCTACGTGTGTCAAAATGTTGTGGTTTATTGTCGAGCAGTGCCCAACAATGCTACACAGCCATAGCAGTCCGGGGTTGGGCACTGCCCGACAGGAGTATTCGTAATTTTAATTTCGCTGTTTTCTCAATGTGAGTCGCGTGCATTTTTCGTATACATTAAGTGCCATCTCTTGAGGAATAAGTCAGCTTTGTTTTTGAGGTTTACATTTTTTTACACTACGGTGCAGCATTATGATCAGCACGGAGCCTGAAGTGCACCCACTCACGCACGGTTCTCTGATAACATGACCAAGTTTTCACTGCGTGTGTTTTACTGTGGTGCTTGTAGCGAAAGGGAGGATGACTTTAGTGTATAAGAGAGCCACTTCGTCTACAAGCTCCCAGACTGAAGCAGCAAGGACTGCGCCGTTTCTAGCGATAGGGAAACAAAAGAGCCAAGAAAGAAACTGTTCCTCTGCAAGACCTGCAGTAACAACTCTGGCCTGCACTAACGAGGATGCATTGAGCAGTATCATGCGCTGACCAAATATTGCTGAAGTAGTTGCTTTCAGAATGCAGGAGCATTCCTGCATGTTGAAATAAATATCCTGCAAGTTTTTCTTCCACAGATTGTGTTTTTTTTTTTTGCGGCAGCAGAAACTGGCAAAATAGTTACGAATTTCACACTATTTAAAACTTCTTAAGTGCCTTTACAGTTCCATCACAGTTGTGCATCATTGTCATCGAGCTACACGAGAATTTCATGGCACTTGGTTATGGGTGTCTTTAGCAGCATAAGATACCACATACCATCACATAAATGAATGTCCGAATATTGCCGGTCAACTCTATTTCTGATTTCCCAACAATGTATTAGGAGGAAAACTTTCACATGTAGAAGTTCATTGTAGCAAGTTTCGGCTATCTCTTTGTCAAGTAGTAAGTTGTCACGGGTTACGGGTGGCTGCTGCGGGCGATGAACTGAGACTGGCTAGATTGACAAGAAAACCCATTTAATAAACACATGCGGCACATTAACAATATATACAAAAAAGTACAAAACAAGCAGCAATAGCTCCTTAAGTAAATTTCTAAACAAAATGCCTTCACATACTAAACTGTCCTAATCATCGTCAGGTAACTATAGCTTCACAGTTTGCGCCGACCTTATTTGCTCAAGCCGATTCACGGCTCGTCAATGTCTGGAATCGGTCATACTGTATCACTCTTGGGTTTCTGGATGTTTTCAACGAACGTTGCCCTTGCTGCCGATGTGGTCGTCTTCGTCACCTGACGATGGTAATGTGGCGGATGCATCATTGGTTGGGCCTAGCGGCCACAGGCGCTCCCCAATGCTGCACGCTGACGTGGGCACCAGCGGACTGTCTTCAGCAGCTGGCTTCAAAGGGGCTGGCGTTTGCTGTGCATGCCTGCTGCATCTTGAGCAGCGTCCCTCAAAGCAGGTCGAGGTCTTCGTCCGTTTCTCGGGAAGCCCACGTCGACTATGCCAGCTCGTCCCTGGTCGCGCGCCGATCGCCATTCGAAACCCATGCCTTGTGGTTATCTCTTAAGGGTGCATGCTCGCGCAGTACCCGCCGTTGTGTATACATGACTTTTTTTTTTTTTTCTCTTCTTCTTCTGAAGGGCTCTTGCTCATGACATAAGTCCTCATGCAAGTCCTGCACTTTGATTTTGCACCATGTATGTGCTGCACAGCACAAAGGCTGACAGGAGTCGGAATGGAGAAAACGCTGGCTTTTTGATTTTGTGAGGGTGTCATGAACAGCTTTAAGGATCTGAAAGATGAGAGAAAATATGAAAGTGCAGTGGATGCCACACAGAAATGGGGCTAGTGAAGGGATGACCACATAGGATGCACATCACTCCCAGTGTGAGACGAGGAGTGTCTTCCACTACCACTTCACGGCCTGGCCTGACCACGGAGTGCCATCTGATCCTGGCTGTGTCCTCAACTTTCTGCACGATGTGAACCAGCGGCAAGAATCCATGCCTGATGCCGGACCTATTGTGGTGCACTGCAGGTGTGGCTAAGTGCTTTTCTCACTTTTTTCAAGCTTGGTTACCAACATATGTCCTTAAACTTTGTTTTGCTCACTTCTACTGTCCAATCAAGGCTTTAGGGGTACAGCAAATATTTCACCGATTCGGGACTATTTAAAACATGGTTAGGGCTAATACAGTAGACTCTCATTAAACAGAACCAGTAAAATGTGTCCCGTTTAACAGCAGTTTCGTTTACTGAGGGATGAACAGCGATGCGCTATGCAAGAACGAAACCAATCTTGTCAGAAGCATTTGTTCCGTTTAAGCGGCAGTTCTGCTGAACAGATTTCCATTTACTGAGAGTCTACTGCATTTCTAAGTTATAGAAAGCATATAATTGTTTTATGGAATTAATAAACAAACTCCTCTCTTGTGGCCTGTTGCAAAATTGTGATGTTCCACCTCTCAACAATACATTCCACCTTAAGTCAGTTGTATTGCCTGTGTGCTATACTACATGTATGTGCGCGAAAGCTGACAGAGCATTTTTTTTATAAAGGTTTTCAAGCACTTTGCTTTCGTTGTTCAAGTGGAATTGCGCTGATCACATGTACGGCAAAACTCACCCAGGTGACTACCAGCGCAAAACCAGGCAATGTTGACCTGATGCGAAGCTTTTCTCAGAGAAAGGAAATTGCAACTATCGCCAATGTGCATTTCAAAGATAGTCCATTGACTGTACTTGTCTTTACGAGGGAATATTTGATTTCAAATACCACCCTCTTGAACAGACGTCTGTTGTCAGCTGATAAAGCAAGCCCCATATACAGGTAATCATTCTGGGTCTGCACAGCGTAAAGGAATGCAACGTATCCCCTGCCACACAAAATGGAACCCTTGAATGCCTTCATGGATTTAAATATTGTTGATTAGTTTATTTTTATTCAGCATACTGGCATATTAGCATGCATGGAATGCACTGTGAAAATGCCTTCATATCATCAGATGGCCAATTCAGAGTCACGCCTTTCAGATTGGGCATTTTGCAAGCTGCATTCGGGCACATGATTAGCCTTTCGATGTGGATTGAAATGATTGATGTGTCCCTGTTACCTCAATGCTGTGTATTTTCACCAAATTTTGAAAGCCACCTGGGTCATTCCAAGTAAAATGTCTCAGTCCAAAATTCAAGCACTGGTGATTATATGTTTTTTAATTAAGCTGCAAGATTACTGTATGAGAGTGACTTTAGTATAATGTTTTCATTCAAAATAGTTTGGTAGTTACGAGGCCACCCTTTGAATATTCCGGCAAAGAGGAAATAGTTACAGGGAAATAAATTATGCATGTTTAACCATGATACTGGGTGCAATGGCACATTGTGTTTGGAAGCATTCTATTATGATTTTTCTTTCATGCAACATCGCAAGTAATATCATACATTTATGTATGATATTGCTTGCGACTCTCCTCCCCTCTGTAATGTGAAAACCGTGAGGGTATAATAAATAAATAAATAAATGTTCAGGCTTAAATACTCTTAGCAAAGTAGCAAAAAAACAAGCATATTTAGATACCGTATAAACCGGACTATAGGTCGAGTGGGAATACAGGTCGACCCCCCAAGTTCAGGTTACCAAAATGAAGAAAGAAAAAAAGAAAGCAACCCAAAATAGCCGAACGACATTTATTTGCGAATTGGGCGCACCGCACCCCGATCGTCGGAACTCCCCTCAACCACCATCGCAACTGTTCCTATTCGTCAGACGAAGCACCACTGTCTTCTGAAAGCGAGAGTTTTTCGCTGGCTGCCTCCCACAGTGCGTTGTCTTCTTTGCCATACAGTCAGTTGCTGATGGAACATTTCTTAAAAGCATTTTCCACCATGGAATATGGCAAAAAACGTCAGGTGGAGAGCACCCAGCCACAAACAGTCGCAAGCGGAGGCCTCTGTAGGCGATCTGTCGGTGTCTTTGGGTTGTTGGCGGACATCCACTTTTGGTACTCCAGCCGCACTCGGTCCTTGAACGGCATGTTTAGCACAACGTCGATCGGTTGGAGAATGGACGTCATACCAGCTGGTATCACGGCGAGGTCCATTTTTCCATCAGCTAGTGCACGCTTCACAGCGTCGGTTAAGTGACCACGAAGCGCATCTAACACCAGCATGCTGCAAAGACGCAAAATTGCACCTGGCTGACGGTTCCAGCCTACTTGTATTCATTCGAGCATCATGGCCTCGTCCATGTTTCCTTTTTTGTTGAGGCGAACGACAACACCGGGCAGGAACACTTCCTTTGGCATTGTCTTACGTTTGAAAATGATGAAGGGCGGAAGCTTTCTACCATCTGCCATGCATGCCAGCATGACGGTGAAATGTGAGTGCTCGTTGCTAGTAGACAACAGCTTCATATCCTTGGCACCATGCTGCATGATCATGGTCGATGAAGGCATGTCAAACTACACAGGGGTCTCATCGGCATTGTCAATCTGCCCCATCATGTAGTTATTCTGCTCCCGAAGCCGGTTCACGAAGCCCTGGAAGTTTGTAAGCTTGTCCTCGAACTCGACTGAAAACTTCTGACAGATGGATGTGCGCCACCGGAAAGAAAATCCTTTGCATTTTATGAATCGACGCACCCAAGAGTTTGGTGCACGAAACTCTTCTCTCATGAGCCCAGCTTCTCAAGCGAGTTCCGCAGCCTTCTTGCGAATGGTATCCATGGTCACTGGCAGCGAGCACGCATGAACTTCCCACACAAAGTTCCCTAGCGTATCCTCCAGCTGCGGATGAACCGCACTTCGCCCACGAAATGACATTTTCCGAGGATTGCACATCTGCAGCTTCCCTTTCTACACCCTCCAATAGCGCACGCTTTTTTCTGATACACCAAAGCGGCGCTGAGCAGCCATATTCCCATTCGCTTCTCTAGTTCAACAATCTCTAGTTTAGATGCAGCTGAGTATTGCCTTTTCATATTGCTACTTCTATTTAGTAAACAAAAAAAAAGACCACTAAAAATGAAACACAATGTCAAGCGGAGCGAACACTTAGATTGGAGGCAAATCACGAACACAAAAAAACAGACAAGAGAGACAAAAAAACAACCTACTGTTGGATTTGAATGCAAATATGGCCGTGTCCAGCTTCTCATGCACATGCAAGCCACATGTTGCCAGACAGCGGTGCACTGTCGGCTAGACACCGCTATATAAGACGAAAGGCGACTTTAGCTCGTTTTATATAAGATATCTCGGCTTATATTCCGGTTTATACGATAATTTTCGTGAATACAGCAGCAGTATTTCAGTCGCCAAACTTTGTTAGCTCTTTTACCAGTTCCTAAAAATGTTTTCAACCTATCTAAAGGAACACTTATTAAGAAAATACTTGCAAAGTTGGCAAAAAATGACTTTTTCAGCATCACATTATTATTCTCAGCCTGTCCACTGCAGGATGAAGGCCTCTCCCAATGATCTCTAGTTTACCATATTCTGTGCGAGCCAAATACATTTTATCCATGTGAACTTCCCAATTTCATCACTTCATCCAACTCGCTGCCTACCCCGATTGCATTTTCTATCTCTTGGTAACCATTCTGTTGCTCTCACCGGTTGTCTAATCTACACATTACGTGATCAGCCCAGGTCCACTTTTTTTTTCCGTGATCTGCAACTCCTGTCTGTTCTCTTATCCATGCTGCCATCTTCCGATCTGTCTATGTTATTCCGCTGCATGCTGCCTGGTACTCAGCTTTTGCTCTAGTTGTTTTGTTATTCTCCATGTTTAATAATGAAAATTATGGTGCTTTATGGCTTAGCAGGCACCCTGCATGTGTTAGTTGGCCCAGTCGAATCAGCAACATTCCTGCTTTCACTGTAACTGTGCTGTGTGCTCTGCACAGGCCTGGCGATTCTTTCTCATGAGTCATGGAGGTTGTGAGTGTGCCATGTGCGTAACTACAGTTTCATTCGTCGAATTATTTCACTTTAATCGGTAAGTTAGCAGCAATAGCGTAGCCGTGTCCACTTTTGAAGGACAGAAGCAGAGAAGGGCGTGTTGAACTGCCCTGGACATGTGGTGGGTTATTTTGCTCCACTGCAATTCTAATGTGGCATGTTTCCGTCAACGATGGACGTAAATTAAGAATCCGTTTGGTGCATGCAGTTCACTTTGTGAGTCTTGAAGAGTTATTTACGTAACGTTCCACAAATTGTAAATACGATGATCATCAGCTACACTTGGCACACGTCGTATAGCTGCGGCAAGTTTGGGGTGCAATCATTACGGGGGAAAATAAAAAAAGGATTTGTTCGCAAAATTTAGGGGTGCAATCATTATGCGAGTAAATATGGTAAATTTTAGCTATCGCGCAAAGTATCCCTGAGTGGCCCAAACAAGCGAAAGTCACATGGAGGTAGGTCTGGGCAGTAGGGAGGGTGTTCCATTTACTTAAATGTTATCTTGTTGATGGTTTCAATACAGTGATAAACTGTGTGCAGCCACAAACCTCGGTGTTCAAGGCGAATACATAACTTCTTGCGTTGGTTGCAAATTCTCGAACGTCAAAAACGCAGTTTTACATGCACTACTCCTGCATTGCGAGGATAATGAATGCCTGAACCTTTGACACCATCCGACCAGAGGAAATGAATCACTCCTCTTTTTTGCAATCGTCTAATGGTGTAGCCAGGATATATCAGCAAGAGAAGGAATAAAAATAGAAGAAATAAGGTCAAACTTTCACAACAGTATGAGAAAAGTTATGACAAGATTGTCGGTAATTTCTGACTTGCCCTCTTAATAACAACTCGCATACTTTCCTTGGCATCATTGTCTGTTAGTTCACGTTATTATTGTCACGTCTGACAAAGAAAATGAGCATAAATTTACACGTCTTTCCTTCATTCAGTAGTGGTATGTATGATTTGTTTCAGTGCTGGGATTGGCCGTACTGGCACATTCATCGTCATTGACATGATTGTCGACCTCATCAAGAAGCAAGGTGAGATGGATCAGTTTGTGGTTTAGTGCTGCCATTTGTCTGGCCTAGTAGATGCTTCGGCGGCCGTTCTTTTGGCATGCAGTGGGGCCAGCAGCAATTAGTGCATCTTTCAACTAGAAGTTAGCTATGCAAACATGATCTTCATTGTGATATCTGAATGCGGGGCTGAACCGATTAAATATGCACATGTTTGAAGCTCTCTCCTGCCTCAAGGCCTTTTTCGAGCTGTTTGCGCACTGTCCAAAGCCCAACACAGTGGAACAATGGAGGGAAGCTGCTATAATCGCGTGGACTGAAGGGACATAAATCCAAAACCTGAGTCAGGTTGGTTGAAGCAGCCACAACTAAAAAAGTATGCAAATGGCCTCCTACTCTTATTCACTGCATGTTTCGAGGCATTTAAATGACTGGATTTGGAAACAAATAGAAATGAAAATGAATGGCTAGTGTCTCGGCATTTTGTTTGTCGTTTTTCTGCCACAGTATTTTGCTAGTTGCCCAATAATCATAACACGGCACATGGCCTGCTGCAGTGCATGACACATTGTTAATTACAGTCTGTTCATTACTAACAGCTTCGTCTCGGGAGCTCCAAGAACAAGTTGTTGCGTACAACTCTAGCATGTGAAATGGTTCATGTTCTTTTATTGCTATGTGCGCTGCACAATGTCATTCCCATCATTGTCTTTATTGTCACCCTATAGTAGCAACGACTTCACCATAGCCATTGCTTTCGGCACATGCGTGGCCAAAGTGCTAGCTCAAAGTTTGGCCACAGTGGCGACATCTCAGAAACTGGGGTCACTTTCCAAGTCACCTCAGATGTTGTCTCTGTTGTAAAGTATGGTGTATAGCACTGAGTTGTGCTTGGATATTTGGAAATTCATATAAATTGCCTTCTAAGCATTAATAACTGTTGAGATTTCGTACATGATGTACACATGTTTGCGGGAATTGATTTTGCAGGCTATCTCAGGCCGAAAATTTCGTTATGTAGTGAAGATGACTGCTATCCAGGCAGAGGGTTCCACTCAGGTGGGGAAGAAGACGTCGTTTGGTTAGCTTGGCGCACAGGCTGGGTCTACCATCGTCATTTCGCTTGTCAGGACTGCTTTTCCGAGTGACGCTCCTGAATGCCTGGATGTAACTGGTGCTGTATAAGCCCCTTCACCAGAAGATTAGTCACGACAAGTAATACATGCATATCTGCTAGGGCCGTTAATTCGAAGTCACTGGGCTTGAAAGAAATCTAAGTGGGTTTTCAAATTAACAGAACATACAAAAAGTGGAACGCAAGGAACTTGAAATCATTCGAACTAATCAGGGCTGGTCATTTGCTTTGCCAGCTAGCTTGCAGCTTCACGGTTATGTTTTCTAGCAATACCTAGTCTTGATTTCGTCACAAACACGAAGGAATGGCAGGGCTCGCTGCTGCCACTGAAAAAAAAAGAAACAAAAAAAACTGCTGTGATAAGCTAAAATGTGCACTTGTGAAAAATAAGGTGCCTTCACTGCAACACAGAAGTGACACGCGGGCAGCATGTCATTTGCTCCTCGCTGCCTCAGCACGTCATCATGCTACCATTTGCCCATTTTTTCTGGCGAAATGAAGAATTTAATAATGGCCTGTGCAGTTAGATTCGCGATGTGTTTTGGCCGGAAAACATGATCATTGAACCTTTCAAATTTAGTTTTCGAAGCAGGTGTTGTAAGCAAGAACCCAGGCTGCAGTGCAAGTGCGCACATTGCTCAAACAACCAGCAATTGAATATTCGCATACATCCTGAATACCGCCAAACTGTCTCTTGTTAATGTCTTTACAAACTAAAAAAGAATGAGTAGGTCATGATACGCTGATCGACGTTGCGAGAATCATGCAATATGCTGCCCGCGCGTCATTGCTGTGTTGTAGTGAAGCACGTTTTGTTTTTTCACAGGCACACATTTCGTTGACCCTACGGTTGTTTTTTTTTTTTTCTTGTTTTTTAGCTAGAAGTAGCAAAGCTGAAGTGCTACAACTGCCACGTATTTGTATCACTACGTTTCATTGTTTTGTAGCTCTTAAGGGCCGTCGTTTCTGGAGATTTGCGGCAAAATCGGGATCAGGAATCGGCACATGGCACCCAAAGTTTCGAATTAACCGGACTGGTAATGACCGCCGCTTCAAATTATCCGCTTAGATTTACATTGAAATACTAGTAAAGGACCGCCAAAGTGTTTCGAAATACGCAGGATTTTGAAATAACCGAGTTCAAATAATGAGGCTTTACTGTATTAAGATCTTCAAGTGTGATGGTCGGCCGTGGTGCTCTGTTTGTCAGATCTGCTTCAGGTTATCCAGCAAATTGTCGAGGCCGCACAGGGCGAACGGCTTTAAGTGGCTTTCTAGGGAGCCCCAGGCCTGGGTTTCCTATTTGCCTAACTTCAAATGAAATTATTTATTCATCAAATACACACAAGAAATGGTAATGGTGTTACCTGGTCCACCCTCTTCCAGATGTTTAAGGTACCCATGCCACGAAAAAATTAAGAAGCTGAATGGAGAGACCTTATTTGTCTAAGATAGTGATCTTTATTACACTGTATCTCTACTGCGCGAAGGCAATAAATAGACAAGCCTTCTTTGCATGCACGAAACACCACAGTCTAAGCGAAGAGGATAAGAGCCTTTTTTTTTATCGTGATAAAATTTGCAAAAGTAAGTAGTGCCTTTCTGACATGCGGTCTTCCTTCTTTTGAGAAATAATGTGCACTTACATTATAATATAAGTGCATTTTGAGAGATAATGTGCACTTACGCCCAACTTAATGATGGCGTACTGACACCCATTTTGTGGATAGCGAAAGCTTCTATCATTTTCGTAAAACAGCGCGAAGAGTGCTCTCAGTGTGTGGCTTTCTGCTCCTTGTTTTTGCGCTGTTTTATGGAGATCAGGAATGGAAGTGCTTCACCAGGCTGCACATAAATGGCTATTTCTATGATAATTGTCAATCGGGAGCATAAACTGCCAAATCTAGCCGATTATTATTGTCAACCGAGCAACTGGGGGTTACATTTCCAGTGTAGTTCGAGTTACATGTTCGATCTTGAAATGTTGTAATCGAATTCATTCGGGGGGCTTGGTAGTGCTTGTCTAATCCCTGTTATCGTTGGGGTTTCACCACAAACGTGGTGGCACTAACATGAGTGCCACCACGTTTGCCACCACCACTAACACTAACATGACATCTAGAAAAGCAGTGAGCCCTTGATCATTTGTACCAGCTGAGAACGCGGCGTGATCGTGCACTAAATGGCAATGCGCGTTTACTGAGACGCCCAAAATTTCGGACATGCCTGATTTTCCGGGCTCATCTTTAGCACCCTCAGGTTCCCCATAGAGTCACTGTATTAAAATGTTCAGACGTTTATAGCGATCACTATCCAATTTTTTGGACTTTTTACCGGTAACTGCAGACTCGGTCACCATCGAGGCCATTTTTTGTTTTGTTTTTTTTTTCGTATCCTTGAATCCATCGCGCCATTATGGTGGCTAGAAGGATAGGTGTCAGCACTGGCGCACTGGAGAAAAAGGGAGAATTCATCCAGATGCGGCGGCGTTGCTGTGGGCTCCAAGATTCCTCCCTCGCGCGCGGTTTTGTTGCAACTATTTCACCATACCATGGAGATTATAACTAAGGCTAGTTGGTACTTGAATAGTGGCTCGCTGTAAATTGTGTATGTGCACTTAAAACTGATGTTTTGAACTTGCTTTCCTGTATATTATCTGCGTGTGCCACTGGCACCCCGAGGCTCTGGAAGATAGGCCTGCTGTGAGCTTGGCATCAAAACAACGTCCACAGCGTTTTCCGTGACGTCTCTATTCATGTAAAAGCAAGCATACCTGAGCGCTTTATTTTGTGTAACTTGCACATACAAACGCGAAGTGTATTTCGCAGAAGCTTTAAAAGCACGTTTACTTTGACAGTCTCGTACTGTTAATGTTAAACAAGAGCCCCGTCACAGTGGTCTAGTGGCTAAGGTACTCGGCTGCTGACCCGCAGGTCGCAGGATCGAATCCCGGCTGTGGCGGCTGCATTTCCGATGGAGGCGGAAATGTTGTAGGCCTGTGTGCTCAGATTTGGGTGCACGTTAAAGAACCCCAGGTGGTCAAAATTTCCGGAGCTCTCCACTACGGCGTCTCTCATAATCATATGGTGGTTTTGGAATGCTAAACCCTACAAATCATCATCATTACTGTTGAACAAGAAAACATCACACATTCGTCACAATGCACTGAAGCATCCACTGTTGTTTAAATATGTATCATCACTTTTTTTTCTCCTTTTCCATGCTTCAAAGCATTCATGTACCTGCACTCTTGCTGCTTCTTTGACAGGCTTTTCTTCAAAACCAGAGTAACGTATGGCTTTGTTGTCCTGTTGCACCTGTTGTGTGGCATCGCTCAACTTTGCAATGCCGCGCTTTTGCTGTTGCAGCTACGCAATTTTCCGTGTCAATTTCTGTGGTTTAGGTCTTGACTGTCTCGCTTATGTACACTTATGGTACGTTTGGTTTATTAACAGCCTACGTACCTGCACTGTACATCGGGTTCGATTCTGTGCTCTCGCACAACATGTCAGGCTGGGCAGTTAAATTTCACCCAAGGAACGTGTTTTGTTTTTATTTGTGCCCTTTTTATTTCTGTTTTTGGGGTATGTATAGGTCCTTGAAACCTTTAAATTTGAAAAATGCATTTTTAAGGTTCTTGAAAGTGCTGGAATTTTTTCTCGTCTCTCGCATTTCAACCAGTTCTTACGTTTGTACAATTGTCAGCAGAATCTCCCGGATATTAAAATTTCTGTGCGTGATCTGGCCTCATTGAAAAATATTGTAGCCCAATCGATCCAAGTTTTTTTTTGCAAAACCATCCCATTTTATTGTAAATGAATTTAGGAGGCATTCATCTAAACGTGCATTGGGCCAAATTCTGGATGTTTCAAGCTCTTTTTTTTTTTCT